TAATGTAGGAGTACCTCTATGCTATTGCTATCATCTATTATTGTTCAACAGTTCACTGAGTGACTAAAAGGAAGCCTGTTCCAAATCAGAATCTTACACAGTTTCAAGCTACCTAGTTCATACTTCAAAAAGTAAGAACACTTAAGGGAAAAAGTTAGTAACTTAAACACCAGAATTACAACAGTGCCAAAAGAGACAATGGCTTGTAGAGAAATACAGTAACACAGACAAGACTTTCCAGGAGTATACATGCTGAACAGTGGAATAATACACTGCAACCCTAGTTAGGAGTGTAACGTCTAAACAGTCTCAATGCATAGAGGACAAAGAATTACAGGAGAAAGGGTCTGCTATTTAAAGTCCTGCAGAATTTAAAGTAATCCCTCCCCCAGTTTAATAGTAAAAGCACAGTTAAACTATTAAGTTCAACAGTACCGCTGACGTCACCCGTTTTATTACAAGCTGCTTTTAAGTTGGTAGTATTCCCCTTGTACATTTAATGGATCAAGTAGAGACCAGCTGTTCAACCTATGCTACAGTTCAAAGCAACTCAAGGTATTAGATTCTACCTCAATAGGAAACATGGCAGAAAAGAAGCATTGGGGAACCTAGATATGTATAAAAGTCTAATTTTATTTCCTTAAAGAATTGCAAAAATACAGAACACAGAAGGCCCATCTCTTGGGCAATTATATGACAACTTTTGAAGTCACTACAACTTGCTGCAACTTGATAAATACCTCAGTCATCAAGCACTCTTGAGGTGACAGTTTTGAGTTATTCTAAAAGAGAATTAAGTTATAATTTCATGCTGCAACTGGGGAAAGATAGAGGGAACCTTAAAGCTGGCAGCATTCTAGACAGCCGGCAGACATCTGCCATTGAAAGAATTAAATGTAATGCTGTGGGAAACAGATAATGCCTTTAAGCAACGACTAAGGAACAGCATATTGCACAAGTAAACATCCATAATAGGAGAAAGTTCAGCTTTCTATCAACTAATAACCGACTCATGAATGGTACTAGTATTAGAATGACACATAAGACAAATCAACATTTTTTTAAATACAATTAAAAAAAACCCAACAACAACAAAAGCTTAAATCAATGGAGAAGTGAGAATTAATCTGATTTCCAGAAGAAAAATGTAGTCACTAAAAGCTCAGCCAGTCTCACAACAGTAGCACCCAACACATTTCAGAGGCCAACATATGGACAACCATATTTTAAAGTGAGACGCTCATTCCATGACACTGAAACGGAAAGTACTTCTAACTCTGGAGAAGAACACTGATGAAATGCTGGATACACCCATCACACGTCTCCATCACAGTGAAGCAGAATGTTCTTCAGGTGCTTACCCCAAGCAAGGTGAAATTCCTTTCAGAAATATTTTCTTGGTTAAACTCTCTCACTCATCCAAGGCCTCTAACCACAAAAAGACCACAGAAATACATCAAAGTAAAAAGATGCTTTCAGCAATACTGCATTATTTCAGCTGAAACATAAATCAGGCCTTAAATTCAGATCAGTCAAACGTGGGAAATGTCAATGCAGGGTGTTAGACACCAAAATTGCATTGCACTACTCATTTTAAGGGACAATCGCCTTGAAACTTGCTTATAACAACTGAGAGGAGTTATTTTGTTCTTGAGTTCTACATAGTCCACAACAGTCCAGTTTTTAGGGAAATTATTTCCAACAAAATGCAAAAAATACTCACTGTCTTTCCTTCCTGCTTCTGATGAAGAAGTTCCCAGGGAAACTTTAAACCACATACACTAAAAAAAAATAATTTTCAACTCAGAAAAATACAGTTCCTACTAAAGCATGCTGAGGAGAGTGATACCATGCCAAAAACAAGCTCCTGTTTATTGGCTCCATCAGTTCCTCCTGGGATATGTGTGGATTTGTCAACCTTTGAGAAATCATTTGTGCTTTTGGCTTCTTGCAAAGTATAATTGGTTAACTAATCCACACTGCACTGAAAACTATTGTATTTTTCCAAGAACCTATTTTAACTACAGCAATACTTTCCATGTTCAGTTTTGAGCTCTTGAAAATGAGATGACAGTCACATTCCCCATTTACGAAAAGAAAGGATTTTCTGGCTCTTCAAGATCAATAACAAAGGATGAAAATAAAGTTCAGCATATGCTACACTCCATAGCTGTAGTATTTGCTCAACATAGCTGAGTGGTGGAAACACACACAATTGTGGAAACACCACAACTGAGTAAGACTAAAGCACTCTCAACCCAAGTGAGAGCTACACAGGTGCATGCACACGACATTCTCAGTCTTATGTCCAAGATACCCCTGCTACCTATTGCCACAAGAAGACAACCAAACAAAAAGAGATGTGACTGCCTCAGAACATGTAGCATGCTCTTTAATCTCCCTATTCATTCTCTGATCTTTACAGAATCCAGGAAATTTCTTAGAAATCAGTAAGCGATACATCAGTAATTGTGATTGATTTGCCCATGTTCCCAAGAAATGGGAAAGAAAACCCAAAGACAACAATGTATTTTTCACAGGAGGCTAAGGTAGCAACCAACCAGAGCCCACAGTTTCACATATTTTAACAACTTCCAAAACCAAGAGGCAATTCAATCATTCAAAGTTGAGGTGAAAAGAACAGCAATAAAAATAATACAATCAGGGACAATCAAGTGTGCTAGAGGAATAAAGAGCAGAGACCACAGCAAAGAGATTGAGACGACTATCAGATAATGCCATGAGTCAGACAGAACCTTGGCTCCACGAGTTGAGTCAATTGTTAACAATGCATTTGGCCTTTACTAAGCTTAATATAAAGCACAACTTCTACACATGTGAGAAGTCGTTATTAAAAGCAATGTGCTGAAATACTCGTATTAAGGTCTACAACATACCAATTCCTGCAATTATACTGGAAGTCATTTTATGGGGAGGCTGGAGGGGTAATGAAGAGATTTTTCTGGTCCCCCAACAGATCAGAGAAATCCCTTGTTCAGTGTCTAAACAGAGAAGTCTGTTTAATTACAGTAAATCCTATTAAACTGATCTTCCTTATAAAGGGCTGAAGTGACCAACTCCGAAAAGCTATAGAAGACATAATGAATTCATAGTTTAATTAGGACACACTGTTAGCTAACTATAATCTATTAATTAGCATTCTTAGTTTTTACAGCTCATTGCAATAATACCCTTTTACTTTTAAATTGCACCCTTCTTTTTTTGGACCAAAGTTATACAATTCTACCAGTGTGGTAGTAATTATAGTGATTGCCTAGAGAACAGTGGCCTGGAAATATCTGCAAATGTTTAATTAGGGGATAAAGGAAAGACAAGGAAAAAAAAAAACAACTCAGAGGAATTACTGTTCTCCAATCTACACATATTTAGTAACCGCTTGATCCATTCTAAACCATACATTCATTGGATTTTGCTTGCAAGACTTCCACAGCATCCTCAAATGTCAAAACTGAGTTCAGAAAAAATGTTATTATATTCTAATACATCCTCTTCAGTATAAACACAGAGCTTAAAATTGAAAAGAATTTGAGAATTAAAATGCTTACCTGCAGCTGAAATACAAAAAGCATCAGAAAGTTAAGTGAGTGGTATTCCATGTATTCATTATACTGGTACTGTACCACTACAACCAAAATTTTCACTGGATTACTCCTTTTAAGGAAACCCTACTTCTGCAATAACAATTATTTAACTTTAGGTTTTCTTCACTCCAAGAAGACATATGAAAATGAATACAAAATGTCACACACACTAACAAATCCCATGTTGCGATACTTACCGTTTGGTAAGAATACAGCTATAAAGCCACACAAGTTCATTACATTATTTCATACTAACTCAGGAAAAGGAATTTATTTTCTTCAACTCAGTTCTTTAAAAACTAAAAAGAAAATCGCAGACACCTTCAGTGCAGCAGATTATCACTAACCAAAAGGAATCTACTCTTTACGACAGGTCACCTTAGAGTATAACGTGCCAAGTACTACCAGGACTGTGTTTTCATCTTCTAGAGCAAATCTTAAAAAAAAAAAGACACTGCCTAAACCAGCAAGTATACCTTAAGAGCTTCAATAACATGATCATGCTTGAATTATGGAAACTATTTCATTAAACTTCCTTGGATATTTAAAAAACTCAATAGGGAAAGTAATTCTGTCATGGTGAAAGCTGACTTATAGTTCAGGAGACTTTTGGAGTTGGACACTGGGCCTGTTTTCCACAAGAGCGGTGAGGTTTCTTACGAGACTGTCCAGAGAGATGCCTAACTCACATTTGGCCAGAAAAACTAAACGGAGGATGCTAACTGAAAGACAAGTAGTTACTTCAGGGTTAAGCTAGCAAGAAGGTCTAGGTGGGAAAATTTTAAAGCAGCTTTTAATAAGTACAGCTGACTACAAAGAGACCTCAATTTTAATCGACCTCTCAGTTTTATTCTAATTTAGGGATGCTTTTAAGAGGGAGACGACAAAAGAACTAGACGCCCAAGATTCTCTGTTCTTCTGCCTATTCTCTAACTAGCCAGACCACTACAAAAAAACCTTTAGGGTGCTTTACAATAGTTGCATAAGAAAGTATGCACAGCTTATGACAAAAGAATAGATGAGCAGGTATTAAACAGTGTTACTCAAATGCAGCCAAGAACACAATTTATATCTGTTTGTGAAAACTGTAGGTCTGGAGGTTTTAACTGGAGCTCTAAAATAAGATCAGTGTAACGTGAACTTTGCTTTACTGGCACTCTGTCAACATTCAGCAACAGTTCAGTTGTATCTGGGGTCAGCAGTTAGTACATTCTGCATCTCTGAGAACGCTTCAAGGGGTAAGCACTATTGAAATATTAATTATGAACAGAGTAAAATACTTCCAAAAGGAAACCGAGTGGTTATCATCAGTCCGAGGAAAAAAAACACATGACACACAAGGAGAAATGAGCACTCTAGACGTGACTTGACAAGAAACATTTAAAAAGAGGCTTGCAAGTTGAAAACACATCTTATTCATACCAATTATCTGGGAAAAGCACCAATATAATTTAGCCGCTTACATGTGACATTCAAGTTTATTAAACTCACTTAATTGTGCTACTACACTAACAGTGACATTAGACGACAAACCTGGTTTTCTTCTTGCAAAACTCTATATTGCTCCTTCCAAATGGTGATTTTTGAAGCTTCATCTTTCCTCAGAGCTCTCTCCTTTTTTAGCTCAGGACTCCAGAAGGTCTTGATACTGTTCATGGAAGAACTCAGCTTGCTTTCTTTCACCTCCACATCCTTGCGAAGCAGATCGTTTTCCCTTAATACTTCTTTGAGCTGTGTCTGCAGATCCATTATTGTGTTATCCCTGGCCTGGCGCAGTGAGTGAGGCACAGTGGATGCCATACTCACTGGAGGGAGATGGTGCTCTCCAAATGCAATAGTATCACTGGCAACTCCACTACTGGCAATGTTAGGGCTGCTACCCATTGCAGTCATCCTAACACCATAAGGCAGCCGCCCCCCAGATCGGCCCAAAGTCATGGTGCTTTTTGGGGTATCTGCACCCACGTTCTCATGGTCACTTAGATACATAGGGCCAGATGTAGCATAGGCAGCATTTAAGGACTGAATATTTTCCATAGAAAGGGTTTTCCCACTGCCACCCCCAGTACTACCGCCAGAACTGCCTCCTGTGCTGTTGGTTCGACGATGGCCCAAACGTGGTGACCGTGGCAGCCTTGGTGAACGCCCTGGACTCTGGTTGCTTGGCTCAACCTTACCAACTGAGCGAGCACTTCCGTACATGATTAAGCTGGTGGTGTGAGGCAATTAGATAGGCATAAATCAGGAATGAGAGAAATCCTGTTAAGTTCTTCAACGGTTGTAAGTCAGCTTAAGGCCAATCACAACTTATTACAGATCCAGTTGTCCATCTTCGAAGTCACGTGCTCACAATGTTCAGGACCATACCTGTATCAATAAGAATAACATGTTAAAATCCTTATCAATAAAAATAAAGCACTAAATACCTAGTTTATCACCAAATATTTTGTCCCACATTAGAATAAAGTGTATTCCTATTACCTGTACACTTCTTGCTTTTCTGTTGTTACCTTATCACAGTAAAGAGAGAGAGAAAAGAACCACCTATTAATTTTCAAGCCATAATTTTGTTGGTCATGACCTGAAATCTATAAAAGTCAACTAACTTTTTTTCCTACCTATTTCTAACTGTCCCTAATTCTTTACCTGCTACCTTTCTGAGTAAGAGAGACAATCAAAATTTAAAGCTCATTCAGTAGTATTCTTTTCCTTCAAGGACTGCTAGCTCCCATAGAACACAGTTTCTAAACCCTGTTGCTGTGAAAATAACCCTGCAAATGGGAAGATAGGATGGACTGAAATGATTCTGATCATGATCTCAACTAGCAGGTCCCTTCAGTGATGCTGTCAGCCCTCCTTCGAACTCAGAAGTCCAAACCGAAATAAGAAGAATCATTAAATCATTACTGACCACAAAACTTAAGCAAGTATAGATACAACTCCAAAAGAACAGCAATCACACAGCAACAGGACCAATGAGGTTAGGAGGAACAAGAGAATCACACCTGCACTGCAAACTGATTCCAGTCTCTTATTTTTTCTCGAACTGGGATTCAGTCCTAAACATGACTTAAAAATCTTTGTTCAGGTTAAGCAAAGACGTCAGACAAAATACACTCTTCATTAACCAGCTCAGATTAATTCCATTAAACAGCTTCATTCCAACAGCAAGGACCTCTTAAAACACAGAACGTATGACATCATCACATTGCAGGTCCTCCTCCCATCTACTCCTTTAAACAAGAACTCTGGTAGCATATGCAATCAAACTCCTTATTTTTGCACTGTAACATTATGCTGTTCTACAATTGCTAGCAGGTAACTCTTTAGAACAGGGGCACTGGGCTGAGACCACTGTTAGTAGTAAAGATCTGGTAGAGGAGCAAGAAACAGGGATGAAATCCACTCTTGCGACGCACTGTAAAATGACTCCCACTACACAGTTCTCACTTTTTTTTTTCTCTCCTATTTTTTCCAGGGTAAACTATTTCAAGTCACTGTTGGGCTCAACTGAAATCAAAACTAGAACACTAAAACACTCCTGATCTGACCTCTCCCCATTAGCTGAAAGAATACCATGTAGTGTCCAAAGAGCTGCAGCATCTTATATATCCCAACATCTTCCCTTTCACACCAGCTTTCATCTAGCCTCACCTTCTACTCAGAAGTTAGGTTTGCCAGATATTAGGAATCAATTTTACCAAAAAACATGGCATGTTTGTGAGACAATAATTGGGCAAGCAGATGAAAGATCTGGCTCAAAAGAGGAATACATTTACAAAAGAAATTGCAGAAACAGTAAAAGTGGGTGGAGGGAACAGACCAAAAAGTAATACTGCAAAAAATACTGGAAAAGGGTAGAAAGAAAAAAAAAAAAGTAAAAGCCTGATGAAAAAAAATACATTTTTCCTTTCAGAAACAAGTTAGTATAGAAAAAGATACAACAAGGAATAGTTTTTAAATGTTTAATCCTAAATTTTAAATGGAAAACAAGGTCAGAGTAAGCGAGCATTTTCTCATTTTCACACTATTTCACAGAAGATACAATAGCATGAGTAATTTTACAAAGCTTATGGAAGCTGATACTGTTTTGCGAGCAGTCCTCAAGAAGTTCAGGTGCTTGCTCTCTCTGTCTCTCACTGTCTGTTTTGTTTTAAATGACAACCAAAGCTAGCAACAATATTGCTATGGAATATTTTAAAACACGTATGTAAAGAAAAATAGGCCAAGGAAAGATAGCCAATGGCATTAATAATTGAAGTTATCTACCAAAACACCACCTACGGGTTGGGGTTTTTTTTTTAAATACGAGTTACAGTTAAGACTTTCCTTCTATTTCAGCTACGTATCCTTATGCAAAACAGTACAGAAATATAAACTCTGTAACAAAGTCTACAGTGTTCCACTGGAGTTGCTTCAATAAGCAAGACACTGTGCCCCAGATCTGGAAGAAAAACACTTCTTCCAAATAGAAAAGCTATTTCAGACTAAACTCACTGTTTGAGATATCAAAATGCTAAAAATGCTGCTGTGACACCACTTGAGCACTCAAAACAAGTCAGATATGATTTCTTAGACACTACATAAAGTACAGTCAACTGAGAGCTTGCATTCACGAGGATTCTCTTGAAAATTAATCCAAATCACAGCACTTAATTTATTTGCTAGAAACTCACCACAGTAAGTCAGTGCACTCACATAACAGCTTTAAATAAGTTTAACTTGAACCAAAAGATGACATATTTTATTCTGTGTGTTTTAGTTAAAGCACTTTCCCCAAAAAACATTAAGTTTAAATGTTGCTAGAAGTCCTTTACTGTTGCATGCCGAAGTATCACCTAGTAACATGCTTAACAACATCCAAGAAGGGCACAAAAGATTTTAGATCATTTCTAATGAGTTAATCGTCCCCAAAATGGAAAAGTGTCATTTAAACTCACAGAATTGCTTTCTCCTTGCTTTACTAATGTTTTATTAAACCATTAATAGCTTTGCATAGAATGAAAGTCACTAATGTCCTTGACAGAAAAGTAGCTTCCCAGGCAGCTGTGAGGAGCTGGTAGCACAGCAGGTGCTGTGCAGTGGCCATCCTCTAATGTACCGGGTAGGCAGGTTAGCTCTTGTCCACCTTAACTGGAAACACCAGTCCTATGCTAATCCAGCTCTAAGCTTTGTTTCATAGGTAAGCACCATCCCCTATGTCACTCCAGAAAAATCAAGTAATTCAAGCTATGAAAGCCAACTGCTAGAATTAGCTGTTGATTAGGGTTACAGTAAGGATTCCTGGAGCGGGCACACATGAAACCCAGGGAGAACAACTCCGACATCACCACCACGCGTTACACTGCACTCACTTTTCAAGAGCAAAATCAAACAAAAGCAGTAGATTAAGAAAAAGTATTTGGAAACAAGCAAATGTAATCTTCCAGTATTTCTCTTGAAATGAGAACTTTTGTTACACCGTTGTTAGACTTAAATCTGAATATTCCAAACACTAACTAAATACACCCTTCCAACCAGGCAGCCAGTATCAGTATTTTCACTGACACAGGAGGGATTTGTCATGGTTCCAGAGAAAATAAAAACATGTTACAAGATAAATCTTAAGTCTGTCTTTTTTTTTTTTCCCCTGATATTTTTCTATCAGCATTTATCACCGGCCATTTCACTCTGTTGCTATTAGGAATCCATAAGCAGAAGTACATATTAAGACAATTCACACTAAGAAAACCATCTTTCATCCTGCAAACAGTAAAGTGAAGGAAGTGACAGAGACGTCTTTTCTCATTTGCAATACCAATTAATCATGAAGAAGAAAGAGTTCTAGCTTCCCTCCAGCAGTCCAAGCAAAATTACATGGAAGATTTCTTTCAGATACCAACATAACCAGAAAAGTTAAAGTTTTTCAATATCCAGACCCAGACCAGCATTTTACTAAGAATTTCAGAAGTACAGTCTCTTCTTTTCCATGAGGCCAACATGCAGCACTGTTACTTTTTTCCTCTTCTACTCTGACCCTAAATTTAGTCACAAATAAATCATCCCTTAAGCTTACAGGATAGTGGTATCCACAAGGAACACTGTCCAACAGTGACATGAACGTATTGACCATTTTTTCCTCTGCAAACTGTCCCACAGGTTTCCAAAACCTTTGGCCTTTTCTGCCTATACAGGAACCCTTACCTAAGATTACAACGAAAGAGACTATAAACTACAAGTGTTCAAAAAAATAAAACCACTGAAGGCAGTGCTAAACCATTTTTCCTCAAGGTAGCTTGCATACCTTTACATTTGTGAAACAACTCTCTTGTTCACCACTCACTAAGAGAACAAAAACTTCCGAAGAGCATCCTATCAGCCAGCCAAATAAAAAAAATCCGAAAAAAAATAACGTCAGCCAAAGTAGAAACTTCATACAGGTACCTAGAGATTAGCGTAGTAGCTTTGCAAGTACAGAAACACGTTATCGACCTGCTTTAGCGTTAGTTGAAAATGCTACCTAGCGACTATGAAAAAGCTTGAAAGGACTACCAGAAGCATAAAAAGAATAGATTAAATTATTCAATATTGTAGAAAAAGGTTTCCAAAAAAGACAGTTATGAACACATTTTCTGTATGAAAATGGTAAGACAGATAACAGTACATCCTGCCTGAAGTGCCAGCTAAGAAAAATGTCTTCTAAGATCACAGGTAACTGTCCAAAACCAAAGACACCATGAACTGTGAAAAAAGTTTATAATCTGGCAGTAAACATTTAAATGTACTACAGTGCAACTTATGGCAACTGAAATGAATCTGTTTCATTACAATAGCCTAGTCGCAGCCAGTGAAAAGCCATGGAGAATCAAGCCTCCTTCAAAACAGCAAGGCAGCTACCACTCTGAGTAGTATAGCGATAACCAGAACTAAACACCAATGAAAATGGTAATTAAAAGCAGCATGAAAGCTGGTAACTCCTGCATCAGAACCCAGCATGCTGAAAGAACAGTCAGATGCAACCTGCACTATTGTATGCAGATTTACTTGTAATTATGAAATGAGAGAGGCCAGAAATAGGTACACTAGTCTTGACAAAAGTTCTGGTGGTTTTCAATAAAAGAGTTGTATTCAGGCACAGTAGAAAGGTAAGAAATTCCACAGGGATGACATTCAGGATAAAGAATTCAATAAAATGACATGTGTTTACCAACGCTGTCACACTCAGCCCCTATATCTAGTGTTTTACATGAATCAATGGCTCAGAAAGCAGACATTCCTGACTGCAGCTGACAGGTAATGACAGATTCATTAACACAAAGTTTTGTTAACCTCTGGAGGATCTCTGTCGTAGAAATAGGTGATGCCTTTCGTATCTCCCCCTACTCCAGGACAAATACTAATACCACAGTAACTACTCCTAGGTAAGTGAGCAAACCAAATACAGAAAAACATACTGCAGAAACACAGGAAAATGACTGCTTACATTTGTTAAAAAAAAAAAAAAAAAAACAACGAACTTTGGAATAACTTCTGCAGCCTTCAGCAAGTAACATTTCAGTGAATTTCTTTTGTTGAGTTGCTGTTCAGGCTTGACACTGGCTGACAGACAGCAACGTTTACAGAGTGAACTCCTTGATACTATCACTGCCCGATAGTCAGGCAGTTTGATCGCAAGCTAGGCAGGCAAGCACACCTTACTGCACAGTGACCCCTCTCGTGCCTCCCACCAGCATCCTGGAAGCCATATACCCAGCTCCCAGAAGACTGAACTTCCTTGTAGCCGCAATCCCTGTCTGCACAAGGAAAGCTTTGAACGTCAGTTCAGTAACAGCAACAGAAAAGTCAGCCTTTACAAGAGCAGTCTCAATCTGATAAAGCAGCGTAGCAGACACATTAGACTTCATTAACAGAGGTAGCAATTGTTCACATTTTCATAATTAATACCTTAATAGTTAATGACAAATTAAAAAAACCCTAGAATATATGAAGGGACCTGGACTCCAGAACAGAGCCAGGAAAAAAAAAAAGATGGAATTCCAAACCAGGAACAGGCTTATGTTCCAGTAAAACCCTGACAAATATCTTTACCTTGGAATGCAAATAGTGGGCATGATGACAGAACAGACAGGATTCACAACAACTTAGAGGTGTGTCAACCAAAAAAAAAAAATTAATTCCTGTCACTTTCTGGTGCACACCGCAATTACAAAAGCTATGGCTGCTACGCTACTTTACATTAAAAAATGTGAAGTATCTATCTTAGGACTATAATGTACATTTTAGGTTTGACTAGTTCTGGGAGGTAAGAAAGCTCACTACTTTTCATGTTAAATTAATGACTATTACACATAAAAACGACAGAAGAAAGTTTACTTTGGAAACTGTTTGCAAGCCAGCTACTGCTGAACACAAGGCATTGAACCCATGGAATACAAGGTTGTTTATCCATATCAAAATATTCTTATCCTCATAGCCTTGACAGCAAGAAAGCAAAAGGGATGAAATTAAGATGGAATAGATGACAAAAAAGGAACTTTTCATATTATGATTGAGTCTCATTGCTAGATAGCACATGAATAGATGCCCAAGTACTGACATCTGTTTACGCCCAATCCTTTTTAAAGGTAGGTTGTTTGTTGTTTGGTTTTGGTTTGGTTTTTTTTTAAAGTCCAGAAACTTGCACATCTGCCAAGTTCACTGGAAGTAACAATGCCCTTGTTCTGCCTCACTGAACATGAGAAGATAGGAGCCAGTATGTTCTCCCCCCTACACACAGACTGAGAAATCTTCCCAGAAAAATATCTCAAAAATCCCTTAGAGTCTTTAGGTGACTGACATACTGAAAATCATGTTTTGCAAAAGAAAGGCCATCAACTGTGACCCTAACATTTTGAGGAAAAACCCAGCAGTCATTTGTCAAAGGAGCATTTTGTTTCTAAACAAAAATTGACACTCCTGTTACACACTTCTTAAATTTGAAAGGTTAACATAAATGGCACACATACACTTCACCACTGAACATAGAAACATCCTGATTAGCTGTCCTTTTTAGACACCATTCTGTTTCCCATTCTTCTCTCCCACTCCTACAAGAGATCCCACCCTGAATACACTACCCACCCGTCTCTCAGAAACATTCATCAGCTTCCTAGGTAATTTGTCTCCAACAAGTATACGTTTCCTTTCATGAGATGTACTTACTCCACAAGGAAGACACGAATAAGGTGACAGAACATGCTCTACTCTATAGCAGCTTCTTTGCAAAAGCAGTTTTAACTGACACTAGGTTTTGTTTCTTATAATTCCCATGTCTTGATACCAGCATAGAGTATACTTTCACCACCATAGCTTCATTCCTTTAAATCTTCTTTCCCAAAAAATGAGGCCACAAAATCAAAAAGGCTCACTATTATTATAAAAATGTGTGTATTTCAGTTAGATCTTTATTTACTCATATTTATATACTCTGCGATACACCACTTGCTTGTAAGGATTTCTTCCTAAAGCTCCAGAGGTCAGCCTCAACTTGAGGCAGAACATGAGGTGCTACTGGTATTTTTAAAGGCCTTACCTCAGCCCACTTGTCAGACTAAAATGGTTCTGCTCGCAGTATACTAAGAGTTAACCTGGTCACTAAATTTGGGTGCACAAGCAAGCTCTTCCCCTTTGTCAGGTTGCTGTGTACCAATAGAAATTCTTCTGTCATCCTTCAGAGACCGGGGCACATATTTCTTCACACTGTCTGGACATCACAGTTAGAGCCTTCTCAGGTGTGGCAGAAGTCTTGGACACTGTTCCAGCGCCTATTCTCTCCGATAGCTTTAAGTATTTCACTGGCAGCATTGAATTTGTTACAGGATGATTTGCACATGGTACAGTTACATTGTGGACCATTCTCAATTCCTGGTTCTTGCCTGAGTTTACTGGGGATTGGACCAAACAACCCACATGGTACCTCCCTGTCCTGCGTTCTTAACACTAACATGTGCAGGCAGGCTAGGAGGGTGCATCAGGATTTGTTTTGTGCAAGGAACAGGAGCTGATTATAAATCTCTAAATTTAAAGCAGATAGGAGACATACAGCAAAGATCTGCACCTGTCTTTTTCGTTTTTAAAAAAGTCCAAAACCACAAAAAGCAAGAGCAGTCAGAACACTCACATGCACTTCCCAGTGATGAACTGATTAACTCTCATTCTTCTAACGACCTAGGAGACTGAAGACCTGTGGACAGTAATTTTCTGTCCTTGTATGGCTAAAGAGTTTATAGCCTGATTTTTAGAGTATAGAGTTCGTAAATACTATACGCTTGTATGCATGGTTGTTTCTCTCTTCCCCCCAGGTGGCATGCAACCAACAACCAACTTCCCACTAGTGGAAACACAATACTAAGAGTTATGAAGACATTTCAAAAGTCCAGAAGTACCTAGAGGCACAGTGAATCCATGCAGACAGCTAGCCTAAAGTCACCACGGGTAACATCACTGCACAATGCAAAGCATGCTCCATCTACAGAATCTCCATCATAATCTCACCCTGACAACAAAGTTGTGTTAACAATACTGACACAACTCACATATTAGAAAACATCACTTCTCCTAAATCAGCATTGGATTTTCTAGGATCTTGTTGCTCTACCGCTGCCATACAGCAGCCCACTGCATGCCTCAGAGTTAAACTCTTGGCTTAAACAGCCACTAATTCATAGAACCCTCATCACCCAGAGCACTCTTACAGCAGGGTAGCCAGCAAGGTTCAAGAAAGCATATTACTGGTTCTTAACTCCAGCAATCAGTCTGATTACTTAAAAAGTTGCTTGCATGCATCCACCCATCCTCCGTTTCCGAGCGTACCACACTCGGCCAAAACAAGCCAGACTTTCTAAACGTACTACAAATTTCAAGTGGCTTAGCCAGGTAAGTGTTGTAACAAACCTCTCAGAAAACAGAGGCTTTTGGGGGAATAGGTTTGAAAACAGGGAGGGGTGAAGGGAGGAAGGATAACTATGGGAGAGTATCCTGCTTCCCAAAACAAAGAATAATAGCAAGGAACTCAAGCACTGGTTACAATAGCACAGTGAAATATTTCTATTCATACAGCAACACAGGTAACTGCTACCAGGAACTGAGAAAGTGGCAGATTCAGCAAAAAACACTAGGTTTCTTTCATAGCCAAGGTTTGCAAATCAGTAAAAAGGTACAGGTCATGTAAATACCAAACCTGCTTTTTCGCCAGTCAGGCCATTAGCCAGATGTTAGAGATGAAAAGCTGTGCAAAGAGAATCTCATACAAGCTTGTGATGTGATTGAAGAAACAATGCTAAGACTTACAAAAAACCATGATGCTTTAACATAGCCCAGATAACAGAAACCCAAAGTGAAGAAAAGCTGCTAACATCCTCACAGTGATGTGATCACAGCTAAATTGGTTTCCCAGAAAACATGGGGAAAGTTCAAACTATATCAAATATTATGATAAACCCATGTTTTACCCAGCAGATCCCAAACTTTTTCTAGCTGCAGCCCCTCTTGCAGCTTGGTAGATTTGGACCATTCCAAATTTCTTGACACAATAAAGTCAGGTACTAGACTATTCAGGGAACTACTGTTCTGTGATGAAGTTCTCAACTATGCTTCCAGAAACAAACTGCATTCAGTACAGCTGCCTCTGCTATTTAACAACCAGTGGTTTAGTCCAAACACTTCATTTCTGAAAAAGTAAATTATTGTACTACCAACTCTGCTCATACCTGGATGGGCAGGACAGTGATTTTTGCCTTTTAATCTTACTTGATGTGGCTGTAAGGGTGCTGACTCATAAGTGACCCTGAATTGGGGCAGACACCTGAGCTGCTAACAGTTTCCAACAAAAAATACAGGCTGCAGATCACAGCAGCTCAGGAGGAGACAGCATTTGTTCAGCCACCTACTGTCATAGATGCAGTAACCTGTGGGAGAAAAGGAGGGCAGGCAGCTGGTGGAGGTTACTGCTGTAGGCAGCCCAACCAAGTTGGCCATTGTTTAAGAATTACAACCCTACAGCCAAACCAGACAATTTTTTTTGGTTGCAACCTGTTGGATTTGAGGTAACAAATTACCCAGCTACAATCACCCCACATACACCAACGTGCCCCAAAATGAGCTTGGATATAACATTAAACATACACTGTTCTCTGGACCAATTCCATTTCTATCCATTTGCTTTCATTCTTTCAGCTTCTACACTGCTTCCCCCACTGCCACCTTCACAGGTGTTTCTTTATACCTTCACATCTCCTCGTCTCTCCCATGTCTATTGAGGTTTCCCTTTAAACTGTTTCAACACCACATCGGCACAAACCATGACACAAACTTCCAGCATGCGTGCGACATTCCACGTAAAATAAATTGTATGCTTCATAACTAAGATTTAGAGTTCATGTTACGAACAAGACAGACATGGAAAGACAGCAATTCCTGACACATGCTTCAGGATGGCAGCAGATTCAGAAACAAAGCATCGCCTCAGCTGACACTTACTTTGTAGTAGATGCAATAAAATACATGAAATGTGACCACAGGGGGAAAAAAAAAAACCAACATCGCTGCAGGGTCTAGGTAGAAAGACACCGGTCACCGTTACCTCAGATGATGTGACTAAGACAATAAAAGCGTGTGCTTCCCAAGGACAGGCTAAATAAGTAGGGGCGGAAAAACACAACACGGAACGCGAATGGGAAGAGCACGAAGGACCCACCGTACGAGGCA